GGTTTGACATGTGAACTGCGTGCTCTGCTGCGGTCTTTCCACCCCGCCCGTATAGGACGCATGGCTCAAAAAGAGGTACAGACCCTGGGCGCCTCAGAGTCTCCGATTGTTGAGCCAATGCCATTCAAGAACGCACAGAGCAGCTGTGTTGCCGTGCAGCTCAGGGATCCGGCTCCCACGACCACCCAAAAGGGGCGTTTCGCTCGCTGGCGTTAAGGGAGCCATTGCAGAGCTGGTATGCAAATCGGCCTGGCGAGCCGTTAGGAGCTACCAGTTCTGCTGAAACAACAACTTGAACAACTGCTTGCACAATGGGTTGAAAGACCCGTGTTCATGTTACTCCAAAGGTCTTCACAGTTGGTAGTCGTGGGAGTTCGAAGGGCCCTGAACATAGCACCGAGTCGCCGCTCGGGCGTTGCCTCCGGTTGTCCTTAGTGTTGCTCCCGGCCTCAAAATGATCCACACGAAACTGGGATCTGATTGAAATTATTGTACTGCAAGGGGCTCAAGAATTACTACTCGTGCTCCACCAAGAACATGACTATGGTTTAAGCAAGTTCCCAACCCTGCTCAAATTCTTTGAAGGGCCCTTGTTTTTCATTTTGAGGTGCACTAATATGCACCAATCAAACCCCACGCCCTGCGGACTGGACCCGGGGAAGGGACCCTGAATCTATCTCAAGTACTTCATACTTTTGGGGAAGACCATTCTAGTGGTCAACATGAGCGGTTTGGATTCTTGCGGCCAATCTACTGAGTCAGGTGCAATCAAACCGTTTCGGTAGATGAAGGATAGAAGCTAGAAGGGGATAGCCCAAACCAGACACAGGACCGGACATGCGGCCTTTTGCTTTACATGGCTCTGGGTAAAATTCACCACGACGTTACCTTCCTTTCGGGGGTTTTCTGTCACCTAAGGCTACTGGTTGTTTTTGGTCCGTTCCTTGTGGGTCGCTTGTATGGCCGGACGGGCAGATTGCAGGTCGACGCGTCAGGCATGCCACGAGGACACCCAGCCTCACTAGCCTGGCCTCTTTTGAGAGATGCCGACGGAGCTGCGCGAAGGGACGTGAAGTCTGGCCATGGCTTGGTGCCTTTGGCTTTGAGATGCTATCCCTGTTGGTTGGTTAAAAACCAAAAACAGGCGTTGACCAAAAGGAAGAGCCGGAGCCATTTTTGGGCCGATCTTCCCATTTTGACACATATCCCACAGAAGGAGAGACGGCTCTGCCCGAAGGATTCGAAGAAATCGGGGGGGAGGGGCTCTTTGGTTGCCTCCTATCCTGTTGGTGGCTCGGGACCGGGTTGGTGCTTCGGCTCAGATCTTGGTTCCATTTTTTTCGTCTGCACCCTGCAAGAGTCTTTGAGCCCTAAACCTCGCCAATTGGTCGGCTTGGGTCTTTTCCTCGAGCCTTGGCTCTGAGGGCTTTGAACCTCGAAGACACCCCGATCGAATCCAGGAGCCCTTGACCAGCTTCCAATTGAACATGTTTGGAGCCAAGATTCCTGGCTTTGGTGTCGATTTTTTGGGAGTTGGTACCCTTTCTTGGGTTGGTTGAAAGGGACACCGAAAGGAAAGTCACCATTTTTGGGTTCCTCCGTCCCCCCCCAGAAAAAAGAGACACACTCACCTAGCTTTGGAACTTTCCATTAACTTGCAGGATTGGCGGATTGGCGCCCCCGCCAGCTGCCGTTGGAGAATGTCATATGGGGTTGGTCTGCAAAACGGTTGAGTGCTCATTTTCCCTCGAACCTCCAAAAAAGTGCCAGAAATAGGGCCACAGCCATATTTACCCTTGCACTATGAAACCCACGGGGTGTGAGAAAAACAACTCAGTTCCTTTCAGCAGGGTTGATGGCGGAAGCCGGAAGGATGTTTACCAATCATAGCCAGTTCAACCAGCCAGCCGACCAGCCAACCACTTGTACCAATCTGGAAAATCAAACATCCAGCACATAGAAGATCGTTCTCCCTAGTGCTTTTGGTGTTGCTACTTGGTTGGTCCAAGGTCCTTTAAATGGAATGACCATTGGGCCAGGCCAACAACAAAGACAACTGTCCCACTAAACGGGAAATGCTACCTGTGGTAATCTAGGGATCAACAGTATTGATCAACCCTCCTTTGTTACACTGAGGGGTGGGTTGCAATTCTACAATTGTGGATCAGAACACGGTTTTGGCACTTGGCTTCCCTGAAGAACCTTCCCACGCCGCACAGGCCACTCTGGGCTTAAACAAACACCAAGAGGCATCCCTTTGGCTTGAGTGTAGCCTTTTCGGGGTTTCTTCAAACGGGGAGCAAATGGACAAGCGCACGATGTTTGATCTGGGTTTGGGTTTCTTTGAGGCTCGGTGCCCTCAGGTTGGTTTTCTGCGGCCAGCCTAAAGGAACAGCGCTTTTGGAGAAATCTGACTTGGACTACCCACTTGGTCACCTCCATGTCCGAATTCCCAGCTCTCCGTCGGACGCCGAATTGCTTCGCCCGGTGCATGTCATCTAGTGGCGAATTAGGAGCGGCGCTGCGGTGGATCCCGAACGATGGCAGAGTATGAAGTAGCAAGAATGGATTGCAATTACCCAAGGATTATTGGGATGTAAACGAACCTGCCAAAAACAAGAAGGTTTACAATATCTTGTAACTCGTACGAGCACTGAGCACGCAACAAATAGCCTATATTGATAAGAATTCCTCCAAATGGGTATGTGTCAAAATAGGGGATCCACCCAACATGGTTCCTTTGAGTTTCCCTTTGAACGTTTGAATCAGCCTGCCAAAAACACAGACACAAACACAAGAGCAAGCACAAGCGGGAGCGCAAACAGGAACATAAGCACCAACGCCAACACAAGCACAACCCCGGGAACCCCATCGAAACATGTTGAGAATCTGTCAAAATGTGTCCGCGTTGACTCTGGTGGAATCCTCGAAGCACCTTGGATGACTTCACAACAGCCCGGATGAATTTGAGGTATCCAGCTTCCCTGTCTGGGACAACTTCCATTGGACCTTATGTTCTAGCTGGGGAAAAGGTCCATTGGTCCAAGCGCTGCCGGAGCGTTGACGGGAGCCCGCTGAAACGCCATTCTGATTTTGTGACTGTTTGAACTCGTGTTTGCCTTTGAGCCCCCCCAAAAACCACTCCCAGTGCTTCCAGTAATCATCATGTACCTGGAGCTCAGAAACCCAGCTTACCTTCCTTTTGTGGCTTAGCTTGGAAGCACGTGGGACGTTTGCAACTGAACCTACCACCGCCATGGCTGGTAGGCTCGTTTTTCGTAGTTCTCGGCGGACGTCCTGTGAGGGCAATCGACGGAGTCCGGACCCTTGAAAGTGACAAAGGCCTTGAGAGACCAAGGTACCTTCCCTACCACGATCGGTGCTTTAGGATGCTGGTGCTTGTTTGACCTCCGAAATATCGGAAGGCGAGGTTGCGGCCTGACCGAAGAAAGGATGAAATCAGAGACAAACCCAGCAGGTCCTTTTACTAGGTCCCCTTAAGGGGAGCTTCGATTCCTGATTTCGGGCGAATCGTAGCATGTGAGATGGGCCTCGCAAACTCCCATTCCTTGAGGGCCAAGCTTCTCCAAGTGCCCTTAAGCTTCTCAGAGTCTGTAGCTGCCATCCAGCAGTCTTTCTTTTTGTTTGGAGGGAGGAAAGCCCCTCATGTTTCCCTGAAGTGAAGTTTCTTCTGACCAGGACTCAGGAGTGTATTTTTCAGTGTCACTGCGGTGGACCTAGTTTTGCTCTCGCGTCGAGACGCGCCCTCATTTTCGCGCCAGTCTGGAGCTCTTTTCCGCACAGGATTTGCCGTTTGACCCTCTTTTGACCTTTCATCTCTTGGTTTGTGTTTGGTTTCCAAAGAACCAACATTTGAGCTGCCAAGTGTGAGGGAAATACAGGGTGAATAACACCGACACCAAACTCACGCTTGTTTTGCGACCGCTCAGGATGAGTTAGTTTCTTTTTTGTTTTCAAATTGGGGTCCCTGATTTTGGGATTCGTCGTTTTCTTTTTTGTTTTAAAATTGGGGTCCCTGATTTTGGGATTCGTCCGCCCCGCCCTCCAAAGACCCCTAACGGTGGCCATTGGACATCGCTTTGGTTTGGGAAACAGATTTGGCAACTCAGCAATCAGCAAGGCTTGGGTGCGTCTACAGGATCGCTGACGGCTATATTTGGCTGGGTTAGTCTTCACCCCAGATCCAGGGTAAAGGGAAACAATGCTAACTTTCTCTTCAAAGTGGGGGTCGAAAGGCAGACCCCGCTTGCGCACTGGTGCCGACTGTGTCTGACTTTCGGGCCTCCGAAAGACGTTTCGCAAAGAGAACGCCTTTCGCGGGAAAAGTGCGGTTCCGCCCGAATTTGGGTGTATGTCTTTTGAGGGCTCCCTTCTCACCTTAGTTTGCAGGGGAAGCGAAAGGAAAGCCATTTTGACACGTCCCTCTTTGTGTATGCTGGACGTATTCCATTGGCCGCAGCCATTGACATTGCCAAACCTCATTCTCGGTTTTGTCTATTTCCCCTCTAAACACCAGCAAAAGGCGAACTTTTTATGTTGGCCTCGAAGTCTGGCCACCTCTGCCCGGCCAAACGGCCATCTTCTACTTGAAAAGTTGAGGGGGCAAGACACGTCAGAGGTCGCGCTTTGGCATGGAACCTGACAGAGAGAACCAGGAAAATAGGCCCTGGGCCAGAGATTTGCTTTCGTCAAGATGGCTTGCCACGACAGGACCTTTGCTATCTCCCCCGGGTCAGCGGGGAAAACACCTCAAGGCCAATTGTAGCAATTTCTCGGCGGGACATTTTGTTTCAGCAGCCAACTTCCGGTCCCAAATGAAAGGACACAAAAGGAGGTGAAGAAAAGAGGTATCCACGCACAATCCTGAAAGCTGGTCCCCCCACGCCCCCCAAAGCTTCCCCAAAGCAAGGCTCATTGCCGATCGACCCCATAACTTTCTGCGGAGAAAGCCACGGCGATTTCGGCCACTCCGAACTCAGGCAGGTGCCAGTGCTGCTGGCGCAGAGCCAAGTGCAGGCGGGCTGGGAACATGGAAACTGTGCCTTTTTGGTCCCCAAAAGGCCAACATCCGAAAGCATGGCTTCTGGGTTTAGGTAAAAAAGGGTTTGTGTAGGGAGGACTGAAAAAGAATCTGAGCAAGCACAGGTTTTCTCTGAGGCCAATGGTAAGAAGGACAAGCATCGAGGCGTGGGCCCTTTAGGACTTTTTCTGGGACTTGCCCGCCGATTCCAGCCGGTTGAAACATGACCTTTTGGGCCATCCGAGATCCCGTGATGTTTGAGGGGGAAATTTTGGGAGCCCTGTACAGCTAGGTTTGGCACATGTTTTGATGGTCCAGATTTGTTTTGCTGGTTGAATCCATTCAAACAGGTTCCACTGTCCTGCCGCGCTTCACCGAGCGGCTTTTTGTGTTTCAGATTCCAGGGTTGGGGGGAATTTGGGTTTGTCGTTTATTGAGGGACCTACCTCAGAAACCACCCCAAACCCTCATTTAGGCAACATCAGTTGCACTTGCGGCCAAGCAGGACCAAATAAGGCCTAATCGGTTGGGGGATTCACGTGGAGCCAAGGGGGGGGAGGGGCTGGGCTCCTGGCCAGAACTACTTACGGTTTTTTGTGCAGTGCTCACGTCGCAGATAAGTTCAGGGATCCGACCAAGGGTCAAGAAACCAAGTAACCTGGGTCTGAAATAGCAGGGCTGAACAGATTGTGGCGTCATTGCAAGCGCTGAAATCGAATTGGATGACCCCGCAAACGACCGACCTCAGAACTAAAAAGGGTTTCCGCTGACCGAGCTCCGAGCTTGCCCATCGGGTCCAGGGAATATGCTTGTTTTGTGTTTTGTTCAGACAGTGTCCTGAGCCGTCCTCGCACCAGTAGCTCGACTTCTTCGTTGGGGTTGGGTTGGGTGGGGTGGAGGCGGGGAGTTGGCCGCGGAGTTAAAAAGAGGACACGCTGTACATTGGCTCGTTTTTTCCGCGTCTCGCTGCTCACGTCTGTTGCTCACGTCTGGGTTCTACCCGCACGACTCTTTAGTTGGACCCCGCGTGACCCGATTGTCTTTGCCTCCGTGTCCCCTCGGCTTCCGTTGGGCTTCACTCACTGCTTGCCTCTCTTTGGCCGTGGCTTTCAGGAGCGTTGGCCGGCGCATTGGTGGCTTTCCCATTACTTGGCTTGCATGTGCGCTGAGCAGTCGCTTGTGAGTACGTGCGCTTGTCATATGGCTGGCATCCATGCAGTGTTGAGTGGGCTCTCGTGAGCAGATGCTCTTGAGCAGATGTGTTTATTATGTGGCAAGCATGCGCAGCCCTAGGTGGCTCTCCTAGAAAGAAGACATGCAGTCTTTCTCTAGTTCTTCAAGAAATGTTGCAGTGGCGGATCCTAAGCGTGCAAAGCCGAATGACCTGGCATCAATTGTCCGCAACCGTATAGTGGGGTGGTTGTGTAGGGTGGTCGTCCAAGGACGTAACCCCTGTTCTGTGGTAGCAAACTGGGTATGTGTCAACAAAGAGAAACGGAGCCCCAAAATCTCTGGGTAGTGATGCTCTTTGGTAGGCCCATAGAGTTCCTTTTTGTTGTATCAGGACATACAATTTTATGTCAATAATAACAATGCTACATAATAATAGTCTGAAACCTGATAACGCCAATAATACTGAATAATAATAATACTCATAATAATGGCAATAGTAATGATACGGATAATGATGCCAATTCTAATACATTAATAGCACACATATGAATAATGATAATAATAGTGACACACCACCGATAAACAAACAATAGTAACAATACCAGAAAATAACAATAACTATGACAATGGCAGTCACACTAACAATAATAATGACAACAACAATAATGGTCAAAATCATAATTCTTGTCATAGTAGTGATAATGATACCACTGATGCTGATAATAGCAATGACAATAATAATATCACTAATAATGTGCTAGCAATAGTAATAGCAATGATAATTATGATACTAATAACACACATATTAGTACCAATGACACCAACAACAAACGCAACAATGACAATCTCAGTAACACTAATGGTAACAACAAGAGTATTCAGACACATAAGCTTAATACTGATGATAACACACATAGCACTAGTAATGGTGATCATAACGGTGGTTATGGTCATATCACCCATACTAATAATGCCAATACTACTGACACCAAACGTAAAGAAACAACAACAACAACATAATAACAGAAACAATACCACTTACAATAATGACAACACCAATAATAATAATAATGAACATATTCATAATCGAGATCCTAAGAATGATTACACTCATAACCATGAACACAAGGTTCACAATGATAGTACTGATCATGACAAGACACATAATACCACCACACATACGATTGATAATACATGCCACCACAGATGCAAACAACAAAAGGAGTTCTCAATCTCGAGAGTCCACGGAAAGTCAACTCGAGTCACTCTTGATGCCTTCCAGGCAGTGCCAGCGGCTCGCGACTGCGCCTCCCCGCTGGAGGTGCCTGCCCGGGGGTGGGGGGGGGTTAGTGGGCACCCCGGAGACAAAGAACCGGTTGAGAAATGGGAGTGTCGTTTTTTTCTTCTTCTTTTTTCTTCTCCCTTTTTTTCCAGAACCCCTTGTTGCGGCTTTTAAATGAAAACCGAAAGGAACACAGTTTTGGAGCCCCTGAAAAAAGAGACATGCAAATGGGTATTCCTGTTTTTGAGACGAAAAGGACACCACCCCCCAAAGAGGTTCCCAATGTCGAGAATCCCCAGAACGAAGGGGTGTCCCCTTTTTGTGGGAATCTCGATGACTTTCGTGGGCGCCCCTCTGGATGGGTTCTACTTAGATCCGTCGCGCCTTGGATCAGAGAACCTTTCGGCGGGACTATCTTTTGCCGTAGCTACTTGTCCCTTTTGTTGAGGGGTGACAAACAAATAGCGTGTGCTTCTCGAATGAGTAATTTGGTTTTAGAATGCCAGGCAGCCACGTTCTAATTGTTTAGGCCCTCACAGACCTCCTAGCCCCAAGGTTCTAAAGATCAACGCGGTTTCGTGATTATTTTGTCTAAGAATATCATCGTCAATCACTGCTCAATTTGTCTTGTGTGTTGTTTTTGTATTTGGCTATCAACCTTGCCATCCAACTTGGCAAGGTACCAGGCCTCAGTGATCTTGGAAAAAATCGTGTCACTCGGGGGTTGTCCCTGGCAGGAAGGGGCTTGCAATGCCACCAATGGTGTACAACACCCTGCTCCATGTCCCTTTCAAGCCAGTTTAAATGTCCGTTTTCGATTGATACACTTTTGCGCTCTTGGATTCCTCTTTGTGGTTTGACGTCAAACTCGGTCATTGCTGGTTTTCAGGTGGGTGCCAATGTTTGGTCTTCGGGTTTTGGCTTGTAATCGCACTCCTTTCGGTCATGTTGCAGCCGAGCACTTAGGAGGACGACGAGCAGAAGGTGGCAAAGGAGTGGCTCGGACCGGAGGTGAACCCCAGTGCGTGTGGAGCTCCATTTTCGTGGGTCCCGACTCGCAGGGGAGTTGGGGGGACCCTCTACCCAAGAATACTGAACCGGGGGTCTCCGGTGGGGCGGGATTTTGTGTTGACCCCAGATTTGGCCTATGGTTTTTGCGAGCTAACCAGGACTTGTTTCCGGTTTTGGAATTGTGGCAAGAAAAAGGCGTGGATGTCGTCAACCTGAAAATTAGGGGAAGGTCATCCAGTTGCCAGGGGGTGGGGGTGGGATTTCAAGATTTCCACCCGAGATCTCCGTTTGGGCCGTCGAAAAGGTGCCCCTTTCCAGGTTGAACCCGGGTTCCGGTCGGCAGCCAAGGCCCCCCAATTTTCCCAATGCAAAGCACGGAATTGGAGCAGTCCCCCCGCTGAAATCGGTTGACTCGCAAACCGAGAGCTGGCGCCTTGAGGTCGCAGAAGAAGGGACAGGAGAAGAGGGAAGAGGAGGAGGAAGAGAAGGAGGGTCTCGACCGACACTCGGCCAAGCTCTGAAAAGAATATTGGACGGACGAAGGGCCAGCGTTTTTTGTTTTCTTCCCTGGAGTGTTTGCTTGGGGCATCTATGATTTTTTGTTTGCGTTTCGTGGCAGTTTTTGTGATACCGACAAACAACCCTGTCAAAGTGATAAAGCGACTAGTCATGGGAATGACCCATATTGGTATCACAGAGAGAGTTTTTCTTTGTTACCCCATGCGCTGGCTCCGTGTTTCTGGGTGTCGAACATTCGACCCAACTTTCCCGATTGGGTGTCCAATTTTCGGCAGGCGACCCCTTTCGCAATTCGGGTGTCCGAAATCGAAAGCAGCGACCTCTGGATAGCACTTGAACTCAAACCAAGAGGAAGCACCCCAAGACACCCTGAAAGTCACTTGTTCCAGAGAATAAAGTTCCACCGAGTAACATACGTTTAGCAACTCTGTCTAAAGGACCACGATGAGCAACCGTGTTAAAGCCCCCGAGTCTTCCTGGGGCAATTTTGGACTTGTCTTTTGCTTGTTTGTTTGTCGGCTCACCCGAAAGCGGCTTCGATGGCCGTTGCTGGCTTTTCTGGCTGTGGCTTGGCTGTGGCTTGGCTGTGGCTTCCGTGGCGTTGGGGGCGTCTATGGCTTCTGTGGCTTTGCGGCTTAGATGGCTCCGGTTCCAGCATCATTCCACACAACTAGCATCGAATTTCTCTACTATTTCGTTATGAAGGCATTCCTTTCATGGGGCTTGGTTTCCATTGAGCAGGGCCCCTTAGAGAATAGTCGGGTTTGTTTGAGTGAGCTAAAGGGTTGACACCCAAGCCACAGATCGAAACAGGGGTAGGCCATCGGTCAACGCTTCACTTTGGTTATCCTAACCGAAAGGGATGTCTTGTGATGCGGGGTGTTTGGCCCGATCACTGTTGTCTGCTGTTGCCCGCTTGCAAATTTGATGACACCAGCAAAACCCGAGACAAAAGCGCACCACCCTCCTTTTCCCTTTCATTTGCATAATAATGCATCGTACCTTCCCCTGTTGGTTTTGAAGGGAATCTATCACTACTGACATAGCAAATGGAACTTCCTGGTTACCAACTGGTGCCGATTGATCATCCTTAGAGTAACTGTAGCAACCCTTATCTAAGGGAAGTCAACAATCAACCAGCAACCAACTGGCAGCCGCCTAAAACTGCAGCCATAGCAATCCATGCCAGCCTGGTCTTCCTTTTAAGACTGCCTGGCAAAACTGTATAGGCTTGTCCAAGTGCAAGATTTCTTCTATGCCGAACTGCCAAACCGGTCCTAAGACAGACATCGAGCAAGAGGGCCTCCCTGAACCATGGCTGCCCGCCTACCCCCGAAAGGCCTCCCACAACCGGAGGCCTGATTTGGCCTTTCAGGATTAAGACAAGAGACATGAAACTGTTTGCAGAGTGTGTGATTGTTGATTTCCGCGACGCAATTTCATGAGTCAATGAGGACCTGCAGACTTGTATTTAGTATGGGCCGAATATTTTTCGAAGGACGAGCGTTCTAAGCTGGGGGGGGGGGGCTAGGGTTGGGCAAAATTTGCTTAAACATGCAGACCCTAGCCCTCTTTCAAGGGGAACCAAGAGGAGGTTGTTCAAACAGCAGGTCGGGGAGAGTTATATAAATACATATACATATATGTATATATATATATATGTATATATATACATAAATATATAACGACGCCACATTCCAGGAGTTTGGCGACGTCATGAAGGATTCTTTCTAATAGGGATCTATGTCCTCATTCTCGGGGGGTGAATTATCGTAAGCATAGTTTTTTTTTTTTTTTTTTTTTTTTTTTTTTTAATAACTGTTGAAACAGGCCATTGAATCGTCCAAGCCGGGCTTTGGCTTTGGGTTCAGGCAGCAAGATCTTCGTCTTCGACGATCCGGGGACGCAGCTAGTGGACGACTACTTCTTGGATGCCTGCCATGGTCTCAGAAACACCCCTGGGCAAGAATCTGAACCTGGAACCTTTGATTTTCAGAGTGCCAAGGCGAGTGCTTCAACGAGGACTTTGCAGGCGGGCTGAGCCGAGAGGACAAACAAGGCTCCACCCGAGGATCCGCAACCAAAATCAGAAAATCCGCTTGGGTAGAGATTTGGGCCACAGGGAAGTTTGGGATCTTCCCAAAACCAGGATTCCCATTTCTTTTACCAGCTTGTGACTCGTGCAGATCAGATTGTGGGACCTTGGACCTTGGGGAGGGGGGGGGGAATCGGCATTCCTTTCCCCCCTGGATAGGAGTCGTGGGGAGCGCGGCGACAAGGGCCTAGATGAATCCATGTTATGATGGCTATCTACATCCCTCTGCCAGGGTAACGAACTTGGCCCCCCTCTCCTCCGCCTACCCCAAACACCTGGGGCCCTTAAACCCAAGCTGGGTTTAAATAGGGGCCCCCCAAAAAGAGTGGCTTTCCAGATCTCCCCTTAAACCCAAACCAACCTCAGCAAGGATTCCCTCAAAACGAACTCCAAACCCAGCATCGCAGGATCCTCCTTTGTGAACGAGGAGGCCTGGGGAAAGATGCCTGCCGGCGCCGACCTCGGAGCGAGTGGGACCTGGGGCGGGACCTCCCCGTTTTCGACATGGGGACCCCTAAATCTGTGGATTTCCTATCAGCTCCCTTTCCTGTCGCCAGAAATATCACGTCTCCTCCGATACGTTTTCTCTTTTTCATTTAATCCTATCATGAACTAAATATACAAAATCATCCGAACCATGTTTGGTGCACCCTGCGGCTGGGCCAAGATTCCGGTGTGTGGTACCCAGCAAGGTTGTGGATTGCTGATTTCTGTTGGCCACAGGAACCCCATCTGACGTCATGGGTCTTCTGAGGGCCATCTTCCACAGATTCGCCGCACGGATCCTAGCTAGGCTTTCCTACTTGGCCTGGCGACCGGTTTGGTCGTAAGGGCCGTAAAAACAGAGAAGGTCTCTTTCCTAGGTTCAAGAACACACCTAGGTTTAAGATACCTCTAGGTCTTTTTTCTTTTCACCATCTTCACCTAAGATCTTCTAGTAAGGTCCTCGCTTGAATGTGAAAATCTTCACCCAAGTACACACCTAGGTTTCAGATACCTAGGATGTTTCTTTTCTTTTCACCCTCTTCACCTTTCAGATCTAGGCAGCAACAACGTCTTCGTGCCCTCCAGCCTGGAGATCCTGTCGGGGGGCGCCAGCTGCGAGCCCCAGCACCTGATCTCCGCGGACCGCACCGTGGACGACGCCGACGGCTGCCTCATGTCCTGCCGCTCGAGCTCTCGATGTCGTGTTTTTTGTTTGGGGGGGTCGAAGGGGAGGTGGGGTGCGCCTTGTCGTCTTCTTTTTTTTTTGGGAGTGGTATCCCATTTTTGGTTAGGTTCCCACCATGTAACATGCTTCTTTTCCCGAAGGTATCCCATTTTTGTTGTTAGCCTCCCACCCTTTTCACACGGAACTTGACTTTCGGGAGCCGGCCCCCTTTGAAAGGAAGATAGTCTTGCAGGACCCCCCCGAACGTGAGGTAGGTTTTAAGGGGAGGCCCAAAAAGGGAAACTACCCAATTTACAGGGGTTCCCCCAAAAGAAGACGAGCCACCCATTTGCCCCCCCCCCCCCCCCCAAAGCTGTGTGGCTCCTTGAAGGGTTCCTTTAAATGAAGGGGACTTGACGCCTGGATGAAACAAAAAGATAGGTGGGTCAGAGCCATGACCCCTCAGCCAAGTCCCCCGAGTGGGGTTTTGCCTATATGTGACTTACAGCTCCTGTGACTGAGCAACCATCAAGCGGGGGTGGACGGGGGTGGACAGCCAAGCAGACTGAGCCAAACGACCTAAATGAGGCACCCCAGGCAGGGGGGGGGGAAGACCTTTGTTTGGCAACTTCGCTGGGCCCTTGAGCCAACCCCTTGTGCCACGTTAAAGTCACTGGTGAAACAAACCACCCAGACCAGCCCCTAACAATTTCCCCAAACCCCAAGGTCAGAGGGTGAAGCCTGCATGATGACTGCGCTGATTTTTCAGGGAACCCACCAACCCACAAACCCCGCTACCAAGGGGCGGATGAATACTGGGAGCTCCTGATGAATAAACCCATCGTATCAATAGATAAGGGGGTGTCACCCACAAAAGTGATCCGGAGTCCAACTAGACGGGGCACCTCCTGATCAAAATCGGGCGTTCTAGTTAACTTGGGTTAGCATTACCAACCCATGTTCTACCGGATATCTACCCTTTTAAACACTTTTGCGGGAGAGGGGTATGAACGTCAGCAAGCCGTTCAGGTCCTTTTAACATCAGCAAACACGTTCGCCTATGTCAGTTGGGGCAATTTTTGCCGAGCCCGGGCTCGGACCCTCTAGAATATATATATATATATATATTGAGACTGATTGGGAGTATAGTAAGACCTATAGAAACCTTTATAACCATCTTGGTAGAGCCAAAGGTCAACGGGTGTTTTGTATCGGAGCTGCTTGGATGCCAACTTGAAAGAGACCTCAACGCCCACTCAGAGAGAGCCAACTCGAAGGGGAGAGAATGACATGGGGAGTGTGACCCATGGTCCTCTTTGGTTCGAGTGGTCAGTAGACATTAGGTATTAGGCTGTGGCTCCCCTTGCTGCTATGCTCGGGACCTGAGGCAAGGAGACGGCTGGGTGCCTCTACTTCTGGCACGGGGACTACAACGGCGTGAAGCTTTGCCGCAAGTACTCCGCCTGCGGGTCCCTCTACCGCGAGGCGCGGGGCTTGGGTTTGGAACTCGTGCGATTCATGCGAAGGCGCGGGCATTTCGGGGCAAGCGCCAGGGATTCCACCCACGAGGTCCTTTACCTTGGAACGTCTTAGTGTTGTATTTGCACATCGATGGGTGGGGCGAGAAAGTGCAATCAGTCTTAGAGATGTCCCCAGTTCCCCTTCCAGCAACCAACATGTGGTTTGCAAGGGTACTCTGTCAACGGTTGGTTTAAAGCAAATGGGAACCCCCGAATTTTGGCACATACCTGGAAACCGGTCCCTGGAAAGCGGTCCAAAGGCAACCCCCGGTGTGAGCGAGTAGCAATTATTTAGTGTAGCACATGGGCGTGTCTTTATGTTGAGGGTGGCCTGTTTTTGTGTCGTTCTAAAGGGGAACCACGAGGAAACCACCCATTTTGGGAGTCCCCTTTTTTGACACATATACCCACCCTAGGTTGAATGTGCACCAGAGTCTCAAAATCTGTCTCTTTTAGTGTACCCTATTTCGGGGGTTCCCCTACTACCGAAATGGAGTTCTGGTTGGGGACATGGTATCAAGTGCGGATGTCCCGCAAGTTTCCGGGTGATCTCGTATTTTTGTCTGCGACCTAGACTGTACCTATCGGTATGCCAGCTGCTTGTTACTCGCGTGGGATGCTTGGTGTAGGACCCTGGCAATATATCGCCATGCGAGGCCTTTCCATCCCTCGAACAGCGTCCAACCTGATCGGAACAGCTGAGATTGGGGAAGAGGGGCAAAGTTGCATTTGCTTGGTGTTTGAAGGGAAACCTGTTTGAAGATTGGCCTGTTCCATGCAAGAGAAACCTGTTTGGAGGGAAACCTGTTTGGAGGGAAACTTGAAAGAGCCATCGCCTGTTTGACGTTTCACGGGACCGGCAAGCTGGCTCTGATCTTTTAAGCGGGTTCCGATCGCTTGAACCGAAATGGCTCCACAATGCGTGGTCCGGAACCCATTTAATAGACCCCGTGTGTGGTCACGCAATGTAGGAAACACCCAATGCGGGATTGATTGACCTTGTTTGGAGTTTGTGCCCCCCCCGAGTTTGGGTTAAGTTGAACTTCACGGCGCGGGCCTTTGGTTTTCTCTAGGCTTAAGATGCCAAACGTTGGGGGGACACCTACATGATTTGGTATAATAACAATGGCTTGGCCCAAAAGATGTTAAATGAGGTGTTTCCCGAAATCGGAGAACCCTCAGAAGGAGGTTGGTTTCCTTGGGTTTCAAAGAGGACCCAAACAAATTGAGAAGCAACCAAATATCACCACAAAGTGGGTTTGTCTACAACTGAGGCGAACCTCGGCGAAGTATTCGTCTCCCTTGAAGCTGAGCAAAAAGAGGCCCAACACTCCCGAGGTGCTCTCATGAATGGCCCCATTTGAGGAGCTTTTTGGAAAGTCGAAAAGGGAGCCGCTCCCCCGTTGAAGTTTCGTCAGGGAGACAACTCCCCATTTTCTGAGTGCCCCGCTCCCCCGCTCGGAAATCCCCGGTTTGAGGTGAACAGCAACGGGCAGCTGAAGTCCTTCATCACTGGGGAGACCTGCCTGGTCTCGGACCCGGAGCGCTGCTGGGCGGAGCAGAAGCGCCGGGAGATGTTGGCCAACCAGGCGCCCGGCAGAAGAAAAACTGGGCGGCGCCCAAAGGACCAAAGCCACGAGGGTGTGGCTCGTTGTTGGGGATGCCCTGAAGAAAGGACACGCCCAAATCGGGGTTTTGCGATCTCACCACAAGGGTCATCTGATGTTTCTCGGACCCAGCCACGAGCTCCTCTGGGTGTCTGAAAGTGCATACTTCGGGATGCCACCAATTCGGGTGGGAGAACCTGAGGTGCAGGTTTCTATGGAGATCCAATTCTTTCAGGTTTTGGTATTGTTTAATTGCAGATGCTGGTTGAACCCAGGAGTAATCAACCGGTTGATTTTTGTTAAGGGCTTCCCGTTGGTTGGACATCTCAAGGACCAACGCGTTACACGTGGAATTGCACCGAAAGCTGTCCAGGGTGCCTTGCATACATCTAAAAGCCACCTGCTTTATAATCTAACTGCGCTGGAACTTGGGTGATTTTCCATTGTCCAAAATGTATGCGTTAAGGGACCCTCTTTGGCCTCAAGTCTGGTAATGTTGACCCCAGATGAATAAACCCCTGTTTTTTCTTATGGGGGTGTCCCTGGTTTAGCGTAGATTCATCACTTTTGAAAGGGAACACCCCCATATTCATAAGCAGGGTGTATGGATCCGGGGTCAACATTAAGGCTCAATTGCTGGGCATCAAGGGGCCGACGCGGCCCTAGAAACCAAATCGCGACCAACCGAAAACCCAGGGTGTTGGGCCTTGTCAAAGTAGCGAAGGAGCTCAGGTGGTAACAACAATCCAGGGCAAACATATCCATTTGGCCACAGTAGGACAAGTGGGCCGTCAGGGACTTCTGGTTTCGCCTTATGGAACGAAGTCTCCGGAACCCATGAAAGCTCCGAACCACCAACCAAAGCTGTTGGGGGAAAAAAGGACCTCCACGGTCGACAATGGATGGTTTTCCTTTTGGTTTTCTCTAAACTCGCCTAAAGCGGTTCCCTTTTTGCCGGCTTTGAGCAGATCAAAGTAGCAAAACAACTCGGGCCAAACAACCAGGTTGCTCCAACCTTGAGAATGACCAACCACGTTTAGCTAGAGATTGGAATGGGTATGTGTTGATATAGGGGGGCCTCGAAATGGTGGTTATCCTTTGGTTTTCCGCTACACCAATCCCCAAAAGGGTGCCCTCAAAAAAGGACACACGCAATTCAGTTGTGTTTTTTTTTCCCGACCTCAAAACAATGAAGAACCCACCTTCTTTGCAGTTGGTATCTCTTTTTGTGGGGTTCTAAAGGGAAGCCGAAGGGAAACCACGCATGTGGGGGGTCTAAAAAAAGACAAGCCACCCCGAAGGCCCTCTTGTTTTCCGTTTCCAGGGGGGGCAAGCTTCTATCCTTTCGACACGGTCTTTGGAGAAAACCGGTGGGCGCTTTATTTTGATGCCTTTGTTTTCTTTCAGGGCGGTTCAAAAACAGACAACTTCCCTCCCTCGCTCGATTTTGTCCGTTTTTGGTCGTTCGCATTTTGGCAGTGGGTGGGGCGGAGATACGGTGCAGCAAAATCCATGCAAACCACACTAAGTGTTTTCTTAAGAAACGGTTTCCACCCGGGAATTTTAGAATGGCTTTCTCGAAGGACGGCCGGCCAGGGAGAGTCTTGGGATGCCTTGTTGGTCAAAGAAATTTGCAAAAAGCGCCAGCTATCCAAAAACGTGAGCATCGAATCAGACGGAAGTTGTTGGCAGGCCCCGAGCTCGAGCTGCGTGAACGAGGCGAGGCTTTTTGTTTGGCGAAGCGATGCGGGGCGAGTCGAAATCGTTTGTCCCGTTTATCACATATCATGTCCTTTTGTCTAGTGGGAAAAGTCAATGCACTTGTCAGAGGCCATCCCCTGGTTCCCAGCGCGACTGAGCATGGTTGTGGACAAAGTAATGAGGTTGTCTTCCATTTTGTTTTGATGAGATAACACACGCACACACACACACGCTGCACAATTTGGCAATTAAAATGCCTTGTATTGCAAAAAGTGTTCTCACTATATACGGTGCATACATGACAGACAAACACAAACACAGACACACACACACACAGACACAGACACAGCAGGCAAACGCACAGACGCACACACACACACACAAACAAAAAAGCAAACAAACTCACAAATCCACCCACCCACACCCACCCACACCCACCCACCCACACACGCACACACACACACACACACACACCCACGCACACCCACGCACACCCACGCACACCCACGCACACCCACGCACACCCACGCACACCCACGCACACCCACGCACACCCACGCCCATACGGAACGTGCAAGCACACCCCCTCACACACACACACACCCACCCACTCGCGCACGTGCAAGGGCCCACCTGGCCCCCTGGCAGGTTGTTACCCCCAGTTTCTGGAAGGGACTTTGCTGGAACAATATGCTAGATAATCTGTTTCTTTTTCAAGCTGCAACGTGCCATATATAAATGTAGCCACATGTGTGCATACAGATAATGTGTGTGTATATGTGTATATACATAGGTGGGGATGTAGGTGTGTGTATGTGTTTTTTTTCAGGATACATTTTGTTGGTGGTTTAAAGGACACCAACAGCGAACTCCCCTTTCTTTGGGGTTCCCCTTATTTTTGACCACATCTGCGCATTTAACGTGGGGTGTTTCTTGGCCCCGCGGCACACGCAGGCACTGCTGCAGGCCTGCGACGAGCTTCTGCTGCTGGGAGGCTACGGCATTGAGACCTGCCGCCCGGCCGGCTCAGTCGTCTTGTCTTTTGCTTTTTTTGGGAGTCGGGGACTCGACTTTTCGGTGGGCTTATGTGGACACCGAAGAAGGAAAGCGGAATATTTTTTGGTGCAACAAATAGGCCGATTTGGACTCGTCTCGGGTCAGGTTGTGGGAATGTTCGGGCTACTTCTGGACATGAGGGAGCTTCCTATGACAAAATTCCCAAATTCGTCATTTGGAGGAGGAGACCCCAAATCTTAGATCTTCAGGTGTTCCCTGAGGTTGGGCCAAGACCAGGAAGAGGAAGCTTCTTTCCTAGATGACGAGTAAGAACTGATCTTCTTCTTTCTTGTGCGGAGGGACACCACGAATATATCGCAGACTCTGCACAGAATCTACGCGTTTTCCAGGGCAGTGTGGATGGCAGTTTTCATTGGGTTTCTGCATGAATGCACTTTTTGACCATTTTAGTGGCTTAGTTTTTGTTTGTCTCCTAATGAACCAGAACGGGATTCCCTTAAAGGAAATGAGTTGGCTGGTTTTCCTCGGGATCATTCCTATTCTCATTCCCTGCCTATTGAACCACCTACTTTCACCCCTCTTAGCCCACCTATGATTGTTCCTATGATGGTAGACCATTGAACACGTGCGTCCATAGGTGTCCTTTTGGTTGAAACATAGATGGCACTAAATGATTAGAGCCAACCTGCAACCAGCGCCATCTATGTTCACCCAAACTGGCCTAAAACGGCCACCTACGATTTTGCTTACTTTCCCCACCAGCATTTCGCTCCTCCACAACGCTAGGAACCAAACGCTTTCCACCACAACCCTAGGAACCACACGCGTTTTTTACCACTATGTCCAACCACCTGCTTCTTCGGGTCCTTTCGGGTTCCTTTCGGGTCCTTTCGTCGCTGGTCCGAGGCAGCCGCTGCACCCACAACTACGCGGTGACCAAGAAGCCCAAGAAGCCGATGCCGGCCACGATGTTGGCCGGCACCGTGCCTTCGGCTTTTTCGACGCACGCGCGGATTTTTAGCGGACAGTCGGGGTGTCGGTTTCTTTTGGGGGGCGGGACACCCTCCCCAAACTGGTGGACCCGTTTCCTTTTTGGCTTCCCTTTAAAAGCCAGCAAACAACTGGTACCCGCACAAAAGACCGACACTCTTACATTCTGCTTTCTCAACTTCTTGCAACTGTTTGGTTTTCCCAACAAATTCCCTTTCAACCAGCAACACATTGACCGCCCCCCACCTCGTTCGGCTGAGTGGACGGAGGACATGGGTGGTTTCAATCAACCCCACAAGGGCACCCTAAAAAAAACACCCACGCCCCCACATCAGACAAATTCCCGTCCCCGGGACGACTGGTTCCTTTGGGGTTGGACTCCCCACGCAAGTGCTCTTTGCCATTTTGCTCTTGGCCGTTTTTTTGCAGCCATATAATATTGGTCTCATGCATGCTCGGGCAGAGCGACTGATGACCCGTGAATCACTTGTGCCCACCCCTAGACAGAACTGTACTCAGCAGGATAACGCGACGCACCGTGGCCTGAAGAGCAGCCAGTTTCTGTGCACTCATATATATATATATATATATATGGTCACCCCCCCCCCAGGGCCTACCTTTCTACTTTTTGCATGAAAGAGATTTTCTTGCAGATGTTCAGTGTCCACTTGGTTTGCAGATGCCTTGCAGAAAGCACTGTAATTTACGGTGTTTTTGTGCAATTTTTGATATTGTCTCAGATGTGCTTTCTGTACTTGATGCAAAACAGGATTCGAGAAAGCAACAAACACGAAAACGGAAAGCGTTTTCAGATGCAACTTTGTCAGTTGTGAAATCACTGTTATTTGCAGTGTTTTTAAAGGAAACTGCAAAACAACACCTTTTTTTTAACGTTTTTTGATGGTTTCAGCCTCAAAACCTGCACAGGCTCAAAAAATGCAAAAACAAAACCAAACCTGGAAGCTCCAAAACCTGCACAGGCTCAAACAAATGCAAAACATGCAAAACCCAGATGCAATGTTAGAGGTCAGGGCTTGATTGGTCTGGATGTTGCATTTTTTGCATTTGTTTGAGCCTGTGCAGGTTTTGGAGCCTTGGGTGCTTAAAACCTGCACAGGCTCAAAAAATGCAAAAAATCCAAACCTGGAAGCTCCAAAACCTGCACAGGCTCAAAAGAATGCAAAAAATGCATATATATTTTTTTGCATTTTTTGCATTTGTTTGAGCCTGTGCAGGTTTTGAAGCCTTCGGTGCTTAAAACCTGCACAGGCTCAAACAAATGCAAAACATCCAAACCTGGAAGCTCCAAAACCTGCACAGGCTCAAAACAATGCAAAAAATGCAAAACCCAGATGCAAGTCAGAGGTCAGGGCTTGATTGGTCTGGATTTTTGCAGTTTTTGCATTTTTTTGAGCCTGTGCAGGTTTTGAGGCTTCCTGGTTTGGATTTTTTGCATTTTTTTGAGCCTGTGCAGGTTTTGGAGCCTTGGGTGCTTAAAACCTGCACAGGCTCAAAAAATGCAAAACATCCAAACCTGGACGCTCCAAAACCTGCACAAGCTCAACAAAATGCCAAAAATGCCAAACCCAGATGCAAGTCAGAGGTCAGGGCTTGATTTCTCTGGATTTTTGCATTTTTTGCATTTGTTTGAGCCTGTGCAGGTTTTGGAGCCTTCGGTGCTTAAAACCTGCACAGGCTCAAAAAAATGCAAAAAATCCAAACCTGGAAGCTCCAAAACCTGCACAGGCTCAAAAAAATGCAAAAAATGCAAAACCCAGATGCAAGTCAGAGGTCAGGGCTTGATTGGTCTGGATTTTTGCAGTTTTTGCATTTTTTTGAGCCTGTGCAGGTTTTGAGGCTTCCTGGTTTGGATTTTTTGCATTTTTTTGAGCCCGTGCAGGTTTTGGAGCCTTGGGTGCTTAAAACCTGCACAGGCTCAAAAAATGCAAAAAAATCCAAACCTGGAAGCTCCAAAACCTGCACAGGCTCAAAACAATGCAAAAAATGCAAAACCCAGATGCAAGTCAGAGGTCAGGGCTTGATTGGTCTGGATTTTTGCAGTTTTTGCATTTTTTTGAGCCTGTGGCCAGCTTTGATGCCATTGAGAAACCAAGCCATTGAGGTAATGAGTGCTCTACTGATAAATCAGATGCTTACAGGACAGCCTTTGATATAACAGTGCAGCAGTGATGACACACACACACACAATCATCAACCTTTTAGGACCACATGCCCAAACCACATCAAACAAGGCCCCAAATGAGTGTCCTTTTCTTCCCAAACAATAGTTTCCACTTGCTACGCAATAAGCCTACAGAAGGTTTATAATCTTTCAGAAAAGTTTATAAACCTTATTGAGTGTTTGACGAGTTTCCCGCATCAAGGCAACAACACCCTACGAAGTGTTCATGGTATCGTTGAAGGAGGGGGGGGGGTGGTTGGTTGGAAGTCTTAGCAGTGAGGTGTGACTCAGCCAACTTTGTAAAGACTTCTCAGTACCCCCCCCCCCCTCCCCCCCCTGCCCTTGTTGCAAGGAAACCGTCAAACCCTTGACATGGTTTATAAACTGTCTTGAAAGTTTATAAACTCTTTGCTGTTGTTACTCAACATGACTTGTCACCCACAAACAAATATGCAGCAACAGCACACTTCTTGCGTATATATGCTCACACCCCCTGTCCTTAAAATAAGAGGGTTTTGTACATTTTGAAGTGGAAAGGTAGGCCCTGGGGGGGGGGGGTGAGCATATATATATATATATATAGATACGTACATGTATAATATGCTGCTCCCCCCCCCCCCTCACCCACACCTACCAAAATCGCATTTTCCAGTGTTCTGAGATTCAAGAAAACGCAAGTATACGAGTAGTACGCAATTTGCACTTAACGTGCCTGTAACAGTTCTGTTATCTTGTTGCAGCTCTTATCAGTTTGCCGGGAACAGAACATCAGCAAGCCTTCAATTCTGGAATTGACATTTAAATTATTCATAAAGGTGTTTGAAGCAATTCCTATCAAATTATGCGCTGTTTGGTAGTTGTTTTTGAATAACGCCAATAACATTTATGGAGCATCGAAGAGAAGAAGACCGGATTTACAATTCAGTTTCAATTTCAATCCAAATCTCAACTGTAAGCAATTGCATGCCCTCAAACGTTCCAAATACAAACCGAATGCAGGGAACAACCATGGAACTTTTCAAGTTGAAACTGAGATCAACTTCAATTTCAACAAGTCAATTGCGCTTACCTAGTTCCGCATAAACTGCGTCGTGCAGGTCACAAACATGTGGGTCAAATCTGGGCACCTCCTAAATCGAACAAGAAGGGCCTGTGAAAATTAATGTTTTTGGGATGGACCCAAGTTCCAAGATTGCACAGGACAGTTGCTCCGAAATCTTAATCTCAGCCCACCCAAGAAATGGCAGTTTTTGGGCACAGCCGCAAATGTTGCGCAACATTTCCGAGGCTCTCAGCTTGGTTCACCAATGCTGCACAACATTTGGCACATGTTGCTCAACACGTTGCAGATGATGCCCAACATTCCCACAGAACCACTGGACCAACGAAGTCGATGAGATTTTTTTGCCAAATGTTGCCCAATGAACCAGACATTGAAGCCAGAAATGCCACGTTTTGAGTATTTTTAGCGCAGGGTGGGGCCAAATGCCAGACATGCTAGTTTTAGAGTGTTTTTGACAAGTGGGGCCAGCATGTCAATATGTGGATCGTTTCTTGTTTGGGTATATATGTTTCCGTCCCACGCATCATCTGCATGATGGGGATGATGCTGGCAATGCTGGGGATGCTGTCCCGTACCGTCACCCCAGCACCCCTCGCCCACTAACCCTAAACACATGAACGCGCACACACACACACACACCCACACACCCACACACCCACACACACACACACACACACACACACACACACCCCACGCACCCACCCACCCACCCACCCACCCACCCACCCACCCACCCACCCACCCACCCACCCACCCACCCACCCACCCACCCACCCACCCACCCACCCACCCACCCACCCACCCACCCACCCACCCACCCACCCACCCACCCACCCACCCACCCACCCAC